GGACGGGCCGATCGGTTTAGAGGAGGGGGCCGAGGGTAATAAAAACACTCCCCTGGTGTGGTCCCCCCCCTGCTTCTCCGTGAAGGCGAAGCTTGCAACTGGCTCGGGTCTTCCTCCTCGCTGTCTCTGCTGCATTTCCCTTGTGCCGGAGTGATGCATCCACCTCAGTTCTGTGCGTCCCCGTCCTCTTTGCATCAGCAAGCCCCCCTCCCCCCCAGTTTTCATGCAATGCGAAAAAACAATCCTGATTCTTATTTGTAATGACTTGGGGGGGGACTGTGGGGGGTCGATCTTTTAATGCAAACATAATGCGAGGGGAAATCGGTGGGTATAAACACGCAGAGAACTTCCCCGGGGTTGCATTTTGAGGACGCATCTTCATAGTTTGCATGTTCGGCCGAGCTGATTTGCTTCAGCGAATTTGGGAAATTCCGGTGTAGCTGGGAGACAAGGAAGGATTCTTGCTTATTGCGTTGCTCAGCGACAGTATCCCCCCCCCCTTTTTCACCGAGGGCCGATGACTGCCTCATTAGCTGGCTAAGTTTTAATTGGATTAAGCAGCCACAGTAGTTGAATTGGTTCACTTTGAAGGCTGAAATATACACATTGGCCTGTTCTGATGAAGAAGCTGGTGAAATGCTTTACCCGGTTTTTTTTCATTTGTTTTTTTGTTTGTTTCCGATCGGGGGCAGAACATGGAGGGGGCAACTTCCAGGAAGATGGGAAGTAAAGAGGTGGAGAGAGGGGATTGAATGGACAGTGCAGTAGAAGCTCAAGAGACACTAAACATTCTGTACAGCAAAAAATAAAATAAAAATAAAAATGCGTTGGACGAATTTTCTTTAGAAAAGTGTTCTCTGGCTCCTGCTAGAGGCAACCAGAGAGAGGACACCCTCAGCTCTGCATGGGTATTTGTTTTTTTCTTGCTGCCCATAACCGCCCATCTGGAAGGGCTCTCATTAGAAGTATTAGTCGGATACATTTCTGGTTTGAAAGCAAGACATATGGGAGTGTGTGTGTGTATGTGTGTGTTGTAATGCTCTCCATCCAGATGTACAATCCATGGCACGTCAGACAGAATAAGAGAGAGCAGAGTTTTGACACAGCTTGGATCGGGAGTTCCCTGGATGCTTGTGCTTGTATGGCGGGGAGGTGTGCGTTGGTGCGGCGTGCTTCGGTGTGTTGCACCCATGTCCCACTGCATGTGTGTGGACATGAGTTGTCGTGAGGCTGAAAGTGGGCTGGAATTGCTCTTAATGCGCTGGCACAAGATGGGACAAGGTCAGCCCGGGTGTAAGGGCTTGAAACGTTCATTGAGATGTACTAGTTTCCAGCCAGGGCTGAATTAGCATGTGCAACTAATTCTCTGTTGGCAGGTAATGTCTTTGCGATGCTGGGTCTGTGTCCTTTGAAGCCTGTGTGTTGGATTTGTGGGTTCTGCTCTCATGCGCGTAGGTTACTGGGTGCGTAGGCATTGGCAGGCAGGTGCGTTGCTGGGGCTGTTTGCACTGCTGTAGTGTGTAAGTGTGCTTTGCAGGGTCGTACTAGCACCAGGGTGTAGGTGTAGCTGAGTGTGTGTATTGTAGAATGGGCATACAGCCTTTCTGTTGGATGTGGCAGGTGTGTTTGGGTCCCTTTGTACTAGTATCAGGGTGCGAGTGCCTGGCTCAGTCTGGCTGGTACGTGTGTCGGGGGCGTGCATTCCTAGGTTTGTGAGCACTGGGTGTGTAAAGCTGGATCCGTTTCTCTGGGCACCATGGGCACGTGTGTTACTGGGTCTGTGGGCATGGTGTCAGGCGTGGATGCGGGCATATTGCCACACGTGTGTGTGTCCGAGCGTGCGTCCGTGTGTGGTGGATTTGTGTGAGCAGTATAAAGAGGGGGCAGGGATGGGCAGGGGAGAGCGAGTTCTCGTTCCAGGAGCAGCTGGGAGCAGAGAGCGGTTGGCCATGTGTGCAGATCGATCACTGTTTGTTTTCAAGACAGTAACTTGTTGCAGCGTCAGATGATTGTATTCCCTCCAGCCCGAGCCATGCCTGTGGTGAGAGGGCGAGGACCGTGACAGCTCGCTGCTCCTGCTTGCTTTGCGGCAGGGACGCTCACTAACGTCTTGCCTGAGCGACCCTTTGGTTTTCTAGGTCAGATTTGAATGCTCTCTGTGCCAGCGCTTCCCAGCCCGCTGCGAGCTCACTGGAGTCACTGACGTGTCTTGGGACGTGCAGTGTAATTGTGCAGTCAGGGAAAGGACACTCGTGCACCTCGGTGTTGCTCTTGGAGAGGACGTCCCCTGCACGCGGGGTGGGGAGGGGGAATTCTGCCCAAAGGGGGGACGCTGCCACAGGCAAGGGCAGTCCGTTACTCACATCTTTGGGCTCCTGTTCTGTGCTTCTTAGTAGATCATTTCACCCTGCACAGATAAGGGGACGTGGAATTAATGATGCTCTGCCCTGTGGAGCATGCAGCCCAGCTAAAGTGCAGTGCCAGAGCATGGGAGGCTGAAACCCCGTCGGTGAAAGGTTCGGGGTGGGTGTGTGAATATTTTAAACCAATCCTTCCCCCCTTGACAGTAGCAACATCTTGGCAAAAATGTGCCATCTGTGCAGCATGGCTCTGGAATCGATTGGGATGGGGGATGCGGAGATCCGGAGGAGTGGGGTGGACATGAAGCGCAGCCGGAATCCAGCCTGGCTGGCAGCATCTCCCGATGTGGTCGCATCGAGCGTGGCTTCCTCGCCCAGAGCTGTGACGCTCGCAGAAGCCGTGCGATGCGACTGAGCGTGCGGCCTGGATTATGAATGTGGTTCGTAACCCTGCTGCGCGGGGATACCCGAACCACCAGGGACTTAGCTGGCTGGCTTTCCTACCCTTGTCCCAGAGCGGCAGCTGTGATTGGCTGGGGTGGATTTTACTGGAGGCTGGCGGCAACAGACCTCTGGCTCTGGGATTTGTCTCCCCTCACGGCCCAGTGGGGTGTTGTCCTAAGATGCGTGTTAGGGCTCGTTTCCCTGAGCCGGGGGATTGGTTGGCTGACAAGGTGGGTGGGAGAATGCAGTGAGCACGTGCCCATTGCCTTGACATCTGGCCCCAGTAGAAACCTGCAAAGAAAATGAGGGTTCCGAGCCCCTGGTGAGGCATGACTTTGATGGTGCGATTTTGGGGTGACAGAGGTGCTGGGGGGTGTTAGTCCTGGATGGGACAGTCTCTCTCCCCCTCTGCCGGACGTATGGTTTTAGGGGTTATTTCCTAAAAGTAGTGAGGAGCTTCTGCACCCCTGGCCCTCCCCCCAACTCCTCCCTGAGGGAGACCCCATTCAGGGTGAGAGGGTGCTGCAGCCTCCCGGTCCCTTTTGACCCTTGGTCTTCTTTGGTGGTGTTTTTTTCTGATGCAGACATCTCGCCATGGGCAATGTGGATTGAGGCCTAGCAAACCCATTTCATATCAGCCACCAGACAGACATCTAATGGGAACAGGACTGCATCTGACCTGTCAGCTTATCAATAGTCATAATACCTGCCTCTTACAGAGTGCTTCAAATCAGTAGCACTTTACAAAGGACGTCAGTCTCATTCATTACCCCCATTTTACAGATGGGGAAACTGAGGCACAGCGCGGCAAAGTGACTTGCCCAAGGTTACGCAACAAGCCATTGGCAGAGCCAGAGCCTTACCATCTTGTCCCTTTGCCCCCTTCTGCTTTCTTGACGTCCTGTCAGAACTTGACCGAACAGCTGGGTGTAGCTTGTTTCGTGCAGGCCACCGAATAGTTCATCAGAAGAGCTTTTGGTCAGGGGCTGTGACCAAACTGGGATGTGGAACGCGGCGCCGTCTACAAAATATACACCGG